GTGTCAGGGGGCAGCAGGGATGGGGCCCTGAAATGACCTCCCCTGATCTGGAGAAATCCTTCAATCAGGTCCAGAGGGTGCCAGACCAGGGAGGTCCAACCTGTACTCCAATGTTTCAATATGTGACTATTACTCTGAAAGGTGATTAAAAGTCCATTTAATTTTTCCCAATGATGTGCCAATAAATAAAACAAATTAAATATTTAGCCATACTCTGTAGGAAGGGAAGGTATTTTTGACATTTCCAAGGATTTTTCAAGGATAGCCACAGTAGAGATAATTGCAGTTAGCCTGGAGACATTATGGATTCATTGTTTATTAGCCTCCAATTATTTCCCAATCCAATATGCTCATTATTATAAGTAATGAGGTTCCTCATACATGCACGTTACTTGCTAGACTTGCAAACTCAACCTGGACTCAGGAGTTGAGCAGGATTCTTTTTGGTGCACGCACTTCCAACAAGAGAAGGTTCTGCAGGCCAATTGTCTTGCAACTGACATTTAGCCTGAAATTACTGCTGCAGTGCAAGTCATAGTGCCATTCAGCTCTGTTTCCCAGCGCTGGATGTGCAGCGAGACTAAACATTCAGCACTGAAGCCAGCAGACATGGCTCTGAATATATGCACAGAGCAGGTCTGTTGAAATGGACAGTGCCATTTACATATGCACAGGAAGTAGAACTGCACTCTGAATTCAAGCCAGCTTCCTTTGAAGTCCAAGGAGGTCTTTCCATTGACTTTAATGGGACCTGCCTCATGCCTTTTTGAAGCTGTGTTTAATAAAAGGCTGATGGGGAGGACCAAATGGAAGATCTGAATCAGACAACCATGTGAGACCCGCATTATATTCCCAGGTCTGTAGCAGACCTACTGTGTGACCTTGGGCAAGTCGCTTTACCTATGTGTCACTATTTCCTTGCACATCCTGTCTAGTTAGACAGTAAGCCCTCTGAAGAAGAGACTAGTCTTGCCACATGTATGAACAGGGGTCTCGATCTGATTTGCATCTCGACATGCTACTGTAATACAAACAAATAGTAATATTTGAAGCCCAGGGGAATCAGATAACGGACTGGATGTCTGTTCCATAAGGCGATTCCATACAAAAAGCGAAGGTCTTGAACAGTTAGTCGTGGAGCTGACAGAAATGAAACGACTGCTTTTGCCTAACCTCAGCAGGGAATCTTCTGCACACAGCAAAACTGTCACTGATTAGCAGATGCACTATTTCCACATGACACTTCTTGCTTACAGACCAGAGGCTGCCTCATTCTTCAAGCACTGTTTCGATGAAGAAACGTTGAGAAAGTCAGGCAATGCCAGGAAAGCAAACTCTTGCAGCTATGGCTTTGATTCCTTCTGAACTCAAGTGCTTAGGTTTTTATTCTTACAGTATAAATGGCAGCATCTTCCATTCTGGGTGGTGTAGTACAAGGGAAAGGGCAGATATATTAGCCTTTCAAAACTTGCTTAGGCAACAAGAGAAAATGAACAGCTTTGACAACAAACGAGACCCCCTTTGGAAAGAGACGCTGCATAGGGTAGTGCATTTAATACTTTAAGGTAGGCCCACTGTCAACTAAGGAACTATTTTCTCTCTCCCCTCATTTGCCATTTTTATTAGATTTCCAGTCATTATGCAATAAAATCTGCTCACTGTTAAAAGCATTTTGAACCTTAACTCTTTGATGTCAGAGGAAATGACAGTGTATTGGAAAATCCAGATAAGCATCTTAATCAGAAGAACATATATTGATTTTATGAAGGCAAAACCATTCTCTGGCCCATACACCCCAGCTGAGCTATGACAGCAAAGAGGGGATCTTGACACTTACCATCGGCTGCTGTGCACCTGGAGATTAACTCCCACAGTACTAGTCCCATCGCATACATGTCTATTCTGAGGAAGGCATCTCGCTGGAAGTTGATTGCCCCCTCTAAAACCTCAGGAGCCATGTACCTCCTTGTTCCCACCTACATACACACACAAAGAAAACCCCCCGCAAGTTAAGTTACAAGAGATTGATACTACATATCTAGTAATCTCAGCTGTTCCATCGATCTCAAAGCTACTTCTCTGCTAAGATGGCTGCAAACTGGCTCCAAATGAAATAGGTCCACCCTTTCTGGCATTTCTCCTCATTAAAACCATTTCAAGCTACATGAAACTATTGCACAAAGGCTCCAGGTGTGTAAATATGTACATGTTGACCATTCAGGGGACACTAAGGGTTTGCATTAAATGCCACGAGGTAAGAGAACTATAAAATTCTGTCATTCGTCTACCCCATTACCTCTAGCTATTGCAGCATACACTGTATGTAAAACCATGTTAATCTTTCGAGACAATCCAAACACCCTAAGTTCAAGAGTGTTTCTCAGTTTTTGGATCATAGTTGATAGCTTAAATACCCCCCTTTATACATTTAAAAAGGAAGATTGAGCTGAAAGTTTTAGTTAATCAAGGTTTGACAGCCATAGATAGAAGTCTCATTTATTCAGAGAACAGGTATAATGTAGACACTGGAAGTTTCACCCTACTGTCCTGCCAATGTGCCTCAGCCATATTCTAGAGACCACCTCTAATCAGGCATATTCTAGAGACCACCTTTAATCTCCATTATACATCACTGTTAAAAATCTCCTTACTTTTACTCCAAAGAGATCTTTATAGAGGTGCTACAAATACGTGCAGTGAAATATCAAGTCATGATGATGAGTAAGAAAGAAAGGGGACTGGAGAGGATGATGGAATCATCTGTTCAATGCTGAACTTCATTAAAAAGAAAATTAGTTGCCCCTTTAGAGAATCTTCCACCATAAAACTTCCCATCTTGCAAGGGTCTTACCTTAGGGACAAAGACTAAGCACAAAAAAGATGTAGCAGTCAGAAAGGTCTAGAGAAGTGGCAAAAATTATCAGAACTGCAGCTGGATTTACAGAGGTATTAACAGTAACAACCCATTGCTCATTCTTAGGCTTTGTTTTCACTTCCAAGTTTAAAGTGTTGCTGAGGCAGCACTTTCATATGACAGTGTGGTCACAGCACCAGCGCTCTGGATAAACCACCTCAACGAGGGGAGTAGCTCAGAGCGCTGGGAGCCTGTTTACACTGGCACTTTACAGTGCTGTAACTTTCTCACTCAGGTTTTTTTCCCCTGAGCAAGGAAGTTACAACACACTAATTTGACAAGCCCACCCATAGTCGGTCAGTGGAAAAGAAGTAGACAGGAATTGAACAGTGTACTCAAAAATATACAGGCCTGTAAAGGAAAAATACTGGCTCTCCCTTTAAGCCCAGTGCATCACTCCTAAATTGAAAGATAATACATTCAGAATCATTTAAAAAATGAAGGGGTTTTGTTTGGTTTTAGACCCTGTGTATTCAGCTTGGGAGATTTATTGCTGCAGAAGGTCTCTAAGCAACTACAATAACTGGACTTAAAAAAATATATATAAACTGAATAACTTTATGACCCGATATTTGATGCTAAGACCAGTGATCAAATCTCATGTTGGAATGGATAAAGTGAATGTTGATAGGGGTCAGGATGGTCTCCACCTCCATGCTATGCAGCCATGCACAAATTACTACATGCACTATTGGAAAGGGTGAGGGGTCGCCTTCCTCTGCAGTACTGGAGCCAAGTTACTTTAAAATGGCAGGTAGAAAGTGTCTAGCGGAAATGTAAAGATCAAGTGCCATTCTTTATGGAAGTGTTTCTGCTCACTTTGTTCCCTGATTCTGTATTTGGGATATAAGTAGTTTGCAAAAGTAGAAGGACATGTGTGTGCATGGGCGTGATAAAATATGTAAAAGGTAAATCTGGATCATGTCATAATCTACACTGTGGACACCACCATTCAAGCTAACTGAACATCAGCAATTAAAAAGACATTTTGTATCTGCTCCAATTCAGATTAACCAAGCTGAGCAAAGCAATGCTCTTCTGCGATCTCCTGTGTCACTGTCGACCATATCCTGCATCTGTGGAAATACTGATGGTGTCCAGCAGACACTGCGAGTCCCACATTTATTTTTACAAAGGAATTGTTACCTGTCCATGGGTGTCTCCTGGAGGCTTTCCAGGCTCAAACCGTACAGCCAGTCCAAAGTCAGCGAGAACTGCTGTCAAGTCATTCTTCAACAACACATTTTTACTCTTGAAGTCCCTGCAGATGGACCAGAAAGCAAGTTAGAGAAGAATTTAGTACGGCACAAATCCCATCACATTTAAACAAACAGGTCAAAACTTGACTGGTTTAATTACCATGCTCAGGTTGAGCTCTGTGACCCAGTGTGAACACAGTAAACTGAAGATGCATTTGTCTTACATCTCTGATATCAGACCTGCATCTACGAAAGCATTAATCAAACTAGAGCCCACACTGCTCCTGACCATATTTAACAGAATTCCTTCCCTTCCACCACATACTCCTTTGGGTATGTTTACACAGCAGCATTATTCTAAAATAACATAGTGCACATCTATACCATAAGCCTTTATTTTGGACTAACGTCGAGCTGGAGGACTTCATACTCCGACTCACAGTAACCCTTATTTCACCAGGAGTAAGCGAAGTCGAAGGAAGAGTGTTCTTCCTTCAACTGCCTGCTGCGTAGACAGTGCCAAAAGCCAAATTAAGTTATTTCGACTTCAGCTACACAACTGATGTAGCTGAAGTTGCGTAGCTTACTTCAACTTTTGCGCTACTGTGTGGACGTACTTTTAGTGTGCATTTTTACAGAATTCTCCAGTTCAAAAAGACACAAAGAACCTACAGTAGAGTCAGACACACACGCACACTGTTTTAAGGAGTGGCATTAGGGCACTGCCTGCAAACACACCCCTCATGATTATACATGCTACACAGAGCAGTGTGGGGGCAGATTCCAAGCTGTGCACTGAAGCAGGTTCCAGCCTTTGTACTGAAATTGGGCCACTGCTTACATTCCATGGATGATCTGTACATGTGTGCCTTTAGCAGCTCACTATTTCACGGTCAGCTTCTCTTCCCTCAGCCTGGAGGGAGGATTGTAGTGATGCTGCCACAGAGAAGGTAGGGATCCTGTGCTACCCAGTCAATGCAGGAGATATAGCGGTTATATTGGTTCCAATATAAAGTCTAAGGGTATGTCTACACTACAAAGTTAATTTGAAATAACAGCTGTTATTTCGAATGAACTTTAATAGCATCTACACAGGCAAACTGCTATTTTGAAATAAATTCGAAATAGTGGAGCCCTTATTTCAAATTTGGTAAACCTCATTCAACGAGGAGTAACACCAAATTCTAAATAGCTATTTTGAATTAAGTGCTGTGTAGACACTTAATTCGAAATAGGGGGCCTCCAGCCCTTCCCAGGGAGCCCTTGTGGCCACTCTGGGCACAACCATGAAAGCTTACTCTCCTCTCCCCAGCCCTGGAGACATTAAAGGGATAGACCCTGGCCACAGTGCCTGTGCCAGCTCCAAGCCTGCCAGCTCAGAGCCAGCAGTGGCCACCCGGGCCCCCGACCAGGAGCAGTCTGCCAGCTCGCAGGAGCCTGACAGGGGCTGGAAAAGGCAGGCGCCTTCCTGGTCCAGGGTGGAGATCATGGACCTTATTCAAGTTTAGGGGGGACGCCCCCAACTTCCATGATCTCCGCACTAGATGGAGGAACACGGCCATCTAGGGCAGGATAGCTGCCAGCCTGGCCACCAAAGGCCACATGTGAACCCAGGAGCAGGTTTGCATGAAAGTCAGGTTCGTCCAGTGAGACCCCCAACCCTGAGCGTCCCCTCCCCCCTTCCAGCTCCCTCCTCCCAGGTTTCCCACACCCTTCTCCCACCCTCTCTCTTCCCCTCTCCCACCTCCTTTTCCCAGTCTCACCAGAGGTCCATCCCCCCTCTCCCAGTTTTGTTCAATAAACCCAGATTCTATTTTTGAACATACGTGTCTTTTATTTGACATCAGGAAGGGGGGTTAGGGAGGGGTAAGTGGAAGGACATGAGGGAGGAATGGGGCACAAGTCCCCGGTGGGGAGGACCGGGGAGGCTCTGAGGGCTCCTCGGAGTGGACGCTCTCCCTCAGGGCCTACTGGATCTTGACAGCCCCCCAGATGGCAGCCTGCAGCAACCCTACGAGATGTACCGGCGTGCTCAGGGGCAGCTCTAGCTCCATGTGGCCTAGGGCTGTGGTGTCCCAAGTTCAGGCATTCAGGGCACTCCAGGACAGGACTGCTTTGCTGTCCCTCGTCGAGGTAGACAAGCAAGCAGGGAACCCTGAGAACTGTCTGTCCAGGGTGGGGGTAGGGTCCCTTTAAGCAAGGAACTCAGTTAGTGTGTGGGGCTGCTGCCTGAGGCTAAGTCATAAAACAATATTTACACACACACACACACACACACACACACACACAGACATAAAAAAAGATATGAAGGTAGATCCCATGTTTAAAGTTTCTACCATTTATGGACTATACAAAAACCAGCATTTCATACTAATGGACAGACCCTTTCTCCACTTGGCAGTCTCTGCAATGTTCCCTCAAAATGGCATTTGCGAAGTGGGGGACAGCACCACCAGGACTACCTACACACTGTTCCCATGTACATATGGTATACAGACTTTGTATCTGGGCTTTAAAAATTAAGTGTGTCTCTGACTCCATTCAAAGTCAGCCGTTTTAATAAAGTCTAACTGCAATTTTAAATTAGAAGAGAGCTTAATCTTTCTCAAAGTTTCTCTAGTTGTTTGCTATTATAAGCAACCCACCATCACCAACACATATGCTAGATGCTTTTTAACAATTACTGTATTCATTAGGCCCATTAATTTATGAAGCAAGTGTTATAGTTGTGTGTTTATAATACTTTGTCATCCTAATTAAAGTAGTAGCCCTTTACAAAACAAGGTCTCCATGGAAACAAGCTGGTATCAGATGAACTCAGCTCACCCTTTCTACAGTCTTCAATAGTTGTGTGTGACGGGGATCACTTAAACTTAATTTCTGAACCAGTACTATCCTAGAGCTATTGCCTGTCTAGGAGTTGGATCACTAGTCATTGACAAAGTCCAAACTCCCTTTGTAGTGGTTTATTATGGATTAACCAAAATTTCATCCACAAGCCCTTCAAAGCTATGTCCTTACCTCTGTCTTATAGCAGTTGCTGCTTCTCATAGCTCTCCTTGGATCTATATGGTGAACTGGAGCCAAAGGGAGCCACAAGGCTGTGTGTGTGTTTGTGTGCGCATGTGGGTCTGTCCCTAGGGCCACTTTAAAAACTTCACCCAGCATCCCCAGCACAGCCGGATACTTATAGTTCCTCTCCTGCACTTGGGAGAGGCCTGCACAGGAGATCTAGTGGGAAGGAGACGCTCCACCTGGTGGAGTCCTGCGGCGTTTCAAAGAGGTGGCAGCAAAAAAAGAGGCTGAAGCAGGCTCAGGCAGACGCAAAGGCTGTTAGCAAAACTCCTTTTGCAGGCCTGCTGGACCAGAGGAGAGGGAGGGGATCCATTCCCAGAGTGGGAGGGAAGAGAAATCCCTGAGCCCCTTCCCTGCACAGGGCACCTTACAGGAGAAAGGGGAGGCCACAGCAGGGCCAACTCCGCCCCCCCCCCACTTTCCCTGAATAGGCTGGTTGCAGCAGGGAACAGCCTCTGGCAGACTGGAGACTTAACAGTTAAGGAGGCATGCAGGACTGGAGGATGGGGGGGGAAGAGGGAAACATGTTACAGTAGTGGGAGGAAAGATAACACCCTCCCTCCCCCCCGAACTCCTTCTCAGCGTGGGGAGCTGAGAAAAAGGAAGGACGGGGTGGCCACAGCTGGGATTTGTGTGCGCGCTTGTGGTGGGGTTGGTGGCCCCCAACTGATCTCTCTCTGCAGATTAGTGGCCCTCGACCCAAATAATATTCCCCACCCTGTGTTAGATTAACAAACCGGAATGGCCTGTTAGCAGCTTTACACTATCTTATAGTAAGAATGTGAGTAAAAAACCTAACGAGAAAAAAAACTCACTCCCTGGCCTTTCCATGTTTTCATCAGAAAAGGGATGTTGGTGAACATAACCCAGTTATAGACCTCAGACAGCAGGTGGCAATGCCCTGTATGCTCTGCATGGTAATTTTCCTGTATTCTTTCAGTTCCCTCCGTGACCTTGCTAAATGCAGGACACTGCAGCCTTGCACGACATAATTAATGAGGTCAGATACAATTGCTTTCAACTAAAAGTGACCTGTCAAAATATTTTGGGAAGAGAGAAATCACTGGACCAGACAGAGGGACCAACTACATTTCTGGGCGTCATAAGGCCACATCCAGAGACAGGCTGCACTGCTCAACCCCCAAGTCTCAGCCTTCTGAGAAAGGAAATAACTGTTCCTTACCATGGCAACCAACAAATCTGGAAGTTCTAGCTTGGGAGTTTCTGGCGAGGGATTAAAGTGGGCGAAGTGATTTAGCGTTCCTTACAGTAAAGCAATTTTTGGAGACATTTCTGCAAAGTGTAGGATTTGTCATTATAGCATATTGAGGGCAAAATTTAAAGCATGCTTAATTGCTTAAGCAAAGCTGTGCTCTCATGGTTCTCCCTCATTGAGCTACAACTCCATTCGACAGAGGAGTTAATCTATGACACAGTCACTACACCACAGTAATACTCTGCTCCAACATCTTACAAAGGACAAATGAATGATTAGGGGCATACATATATAAATATGCATACACATAATTCCGGGCATACTATGCAGCAATCACCTTCTCCGTGTGCATCTACAAAAAAGGGAAAAACGAAAAAAACAACCAAATTGATCAAGTAAACAAAAATGTCAAGGCCCCCCCTCCCGATCACGGAAAGAAAAATAATCCTTCACAGAAAGAGCTTTTGGATTTCAAAGCATGAGACAAGAGGCTCTATATTTATGTGCTTACATAAAAACAGTCCGATTTTCTGAACAACTGAACATCTGTTGACTCCCACTCAGATCTAAGAAACAGGATTTTAAAGCATGGCCAATCACTGGCTCGGCAACATGACCTGAAGGTCAGCAAACTATTCAGACAGACCAGGGAACTGGGAGGAAAATGGGGGTGGGAGGAAAAAGAAATTAAGCTCTACAAGCAGGGACCTGCACTGAAAATCCCTTTGTACTTCACCTCCTCCCATTTAGATTTGGGGCCAGTCCATTTGA